TACGTCATTGGCGCATTAGGAGTCGCTATAGCAGCAGGCAGCCTTTACTTGCAATGGAAGACCGCAAAACCCAAACCGGAACCCGTACATGTAGCACAGGAGTCACCCAAAAGAAGCAGGATACCCGAAATGGAATGAACCTTATATATAATGAGTAAATTCGTAGGCACTATCGTTATTACCCCCATCCTTGGTGGTATTGGTCTTGTTGGTAAGAAGCTCTTTGGGGAAGAGTTCACGCCTGACCCCAGTAAAAGCCTAGGTAACCTTCTAAAGACGGGTCTTTCCCTCACTGTTGCTATCATGATCGGAGAATATCTACGTAAGGAATACGAAAAGAAAAATAAACCTTCTCACAATACAATATAATGTCGTCCGCGTTATTGAAAACTTTTGAAGAGGCTGCTATTATTACTTCCATCGTTGCGGGTATTGGTTGGGTAGGTAAAAAGGCGCTCAAAGAAGAGTTCACCGAAGACCCAAGTAAGAGCATTGCCGTCTTTTCTAAGATGACCGCTGCCGTAGCGGGCAGCATTACCCTTAAGGACTACTTACAGAAGGAAAAGTACATCCCTAATGTATAAATGGCTATATTAGGAGGTGCAGTACTTGCAGCTTTAGCATTCACTGGGGCTCAGTATGGTGCCAGAGCTATAGATAGAGCAATTAACGGAGATCAAAATGGTCTCGAGGAAAGAAAACGACATGATTTGGCGCTGGAGAAGTATCAAAGGGACGTGGCAGCTTGGAATGAAAAAAGACAAGCTTACAGAGATTGGCTGGACAAGAACTACCAAGACAAAATGCAGGCGGATAAGAACTTTGAAAATACAGACTATGCCTTTAAACTCTATGCGCAGACGCATCCCGACCTTAGAATGAGAAAGCCTCAGTTCAAGAATTACTACCAGCCTTCTAAGRAACAAAACAACAATGAGCTGGTATTTGTTGGTATTGCGGGGCTGGCAGGAGGCGCAGCTTTGGCGTATTTAGTGTAATCTGCCTCTAGTGACGCGAAGCATGAGCGTCTAATATATAATGATCGTCTTTTTGGAAAGCGACAAGAATAACTTTACCACTTATTTGAATCCCCCCATCAAAGCCCATAAGGTTCGGCTCATAAGTTGCTCTTTGTACAATTCTTGGTATAATTTAATCAATGGCTTTGTCGTTATGAATTCCCAAAAGCCAAAGTTACCAGATTCCCATTACACCCCCATAACACTGGCTAAGGAGCTAGCAAAGCATGGATGTACTCTTACCACAGGATTACCCCTTGAAATGACATTCAAGAAAAAGAGTGGGAGTGCCAATCTAAAGGGCAGTCCATTGGTAGAACTCCTGGGTCTTACTAGTACCACGATAAATAGCGGTAATACATATGATGTGAAATGGAAAGTTCCCGCCAACTACGAAGCTTACTGCAGCCT